AGCTCACTACCTTCATTTAATCTGCTCATCTCTCGAACGTTTGTCCATTTGACCTTTGTGTTCTCACCCCCACCCACAACTATCATTAACCTTGTCATATTCTTTTGATCTGTTTGCTCGCCTCTGTCATCGTTACCAACTGGGCTCTAGTCGGACAATCAGACATATGTATTGTGATCACCTTATATATGTAAACGTCTGATGCTGTATATCGAAAAGAAATTTCTTCGCGAATACTTTTTTGAATTATCATCATTCTGGTCTAGAGCAGTTAGCACTACGGAACACTTCCGGTTGAAGAGTCTTCATATAGATCTTGCGGAATTTCAGTTTCGTACGGATTAAACGAATTATTTTAACAATAGTGTAGCTTTACAAAGTACAGCATTTTGAATAGGAAATATTGCTCATCGATCAGTTTTGACCATCCAAGAGAATTCATGAGGTCAGATAGTTGCACAAGTTCCTAATCTTCATGTAAATTGACGGTCCGGATGGGTGTTGCGTATATAGCCGGAGAAACTCCCTCAGGGGATGACATTTTTTCCAGATAATCAGTGATGATGTTCCGATAAATAGAACTGGAAACCTTAAGCTGTTGTCTGTGTCCACTAGGTCAATACTATGGTTTGATTTGCATAGCCATCCAGATCAATAACCGGAGACACTATGCAAGACAAGGAAGAGACTACTGTAATGTTCTTTTACGATCAATACTTCTGCGCGTATAACATTGACCACTACGTGTTACACACATATTTGTGTACATTTGCAACTGAAAGTCAATAAATTTTGACTTAGATATTGCTTGGTACTCAGTGTTTGCTTCTCCAAGTGCGCGCTGAACTAACCGAGATTCACATTCCCACTTCAGATGGAACAGTGGTCTTCCAGTTTGTACAGTATATCGTTCTGTAGAAACACGTCCACATCCGTTCCTAGGACAATGACAGAAAAACCCCAAACATCTTTTCACGAATAAATTGTTTAATTTGTGAGCCAGTTGCACTTATGGTCCAGTCACCTTAGCAATTTGTCAACTGTACACGTAGAAGTACACAGGAGCTTTGTTCTGTTTTCTAAGTGAAAAGTTTTCACATGCTACTCCAACAACGGTAGAACTGCACACGAAATCGACTGTATACTAATCCGGTAACTCCGGATTTCGTCAGTAGACGACTGAGGATCGCCTTACGGTGCTGAAGCCGGTGACAAGATTGGCTCATACTACTACTACTACTTTCTACTACTACTACTTTCTATCTTTGTTTTACGATCTGCCCTCAGTATCGTATCGACGAGGGTCGGCTAGAAAACAATGAGAAATCGCAAGTAGTGACGCGGGTTAACAAATGACGCCTCTAATCTGCAACTGAATATGGCAGATTTGGTCTACATAAATCAGGTTAAAATGGCGAAACAAAACGTTACTTTGGGCAATTTAGGGACCCCGAAGGGCTGCTACAAAGACTGGATATTTCAGGATAACATTTGGCTCTGGATCTGGATAAACGGATGCCCGTTTAACTGGCGGTTCTGTATACCCGTGCTTCAGGCACGTAGCAACCCACTCCACAAGGATTGCTCACCGCAACTACTGGGGTGGGATAAACATTAGGATGAAAATTGCAGTTAGTGCATGCCACATTGGAAACCTTTTTAACGTAATATGGTTAGCAGCCGGAAAAAAGACAGTACATTCAACCCTTCCTGTGCAGTTCATCTGGCACAATAATTTTCGGTATTGATGGTAAGACAACTAGATGAATAAATCACTTCAGCCAGCTCTTCAATCGCCTACTAAATCGACCCGCGGATATTCACTCGACCTCGGCTGCAACTGTGATCCTCATCCTCAAAGGAGACGGATGCTGTTGTCTTCCGATTGTAGGCTGACAAGACCCCTGGTGAAGGCGGAATCCCGGCCGAAATCTATAAGAAGTACCTCCCACTGATCGCCAATCCATTTGGTGCCTTACCCTGCTTTACATGATAGAGCAAAAGATTCCCTTCATATTGTACCACGTTGTTTCGGCTTCGTTATCAAAAAAGGGCGATAGGACAATATGGGCGAACCATCAAGGTATCCGCTGGCCGTGAGTAGCTGTAGAAGCTTTTGCTGAAACGCTTTGCTATAATGAGAAATGCATGCACTCAGCCCATTCAGGAAGGTTTCTCTACCGGTACCGAATGCAGTGACTAAGTTTTCATTCTTTGGAGAGCTCTAAAACACTATCACAGGTTCCAGCTCCCCAATTACGCGAGCTTAATCGAATTTTGCGCTGCATTTGACCACTTAGACCACGAGTCATTGTGGAAGATAAGTTGACAGATGGGTTTCAGTCAAGCTGATTAATCTGATAGGGATCTATTGGGACAGAACAATAGCTCGTTTTCTTGCCTATGGGGAAGATTCTTAACCGTTCCATCTGAGTGTTTCCACTTTCCTTTGTTGAATAAAAATATACGATATATATATATATTGTCCAGTTTCACATTCAAATAGTCTGACTGGACGGCTGCTGTAGGTGACATCACTCTTCACAGATACAGCGCCAAAATAACCATGGGTTTAACGCATTAAACAGGAACAAAAAGGGGAAAACAAAAAAACAGTCAATTTTGAGAATAAAACATTTTTTGTTTGTTAATTGCATGCCATTCTGAATAATTTTTTAATAATTTTTGGGATTGAACACGGAAAGGGATGCATTCACACCATTGACTTTGGTTTGATTCCATATCCAATGGGAGTTGAGGATATAATACAAATAGAGGTATGTGATCACTGGAGGCTCAAAGAAATACTGAGAGCAAAGTAGCACTACAGAAGCCCAAACGAATCCATTAGAAACCTCTGCCCTTTCGCCAGTTTGTCAACATGCATAGCCGATCGCGATGACTTAGACACTTCCTCCGCAAACCTGCTCATGATTTGGCAGATATTGTCCTATCAACGTCTCCTTGACCAGGCTGGCGCTATCGACAAAGGGAAAAATAAAATCCCGGCTGAACACTGTATCTAAAAGCATAGTCCTACTTGTTCTTCGGTTGGTTTACAGCACTGATTGGTGGAAAACCAATTGCATCAACATCTGCAAGAACTTACCGCTGATCGCCGGGCATGGATATCCGCAATCTCAGACATTCATGGAGCTAGCTTATATCCTCGAAAGAGCCACAGTAAAATAAACTAATGAAACTTTCACTGACTCAGTGATCAGGGAAGGAAAATCTTTCAAATTCAAGGAATCAACATGAATAATTCTGTGTACATTCAATCAAATGACGGAACTTTCATAAACCGACGTAGTATATATCAACATATCAGTAAGTACCTCGAGAATCCCAATATAATCACATCCTGAAAAGACACTGGTAGAAACCTCAGTTTCAGCATTACAGATACAAACTGTAGCGGCTAAAAGTACCGATGACCACGATAGGTAGTTTAGTAGCTTAAACCCAACTTAGGTAAACAATAAATGCGAGCACACTCTTCGCCGGATCCATGCACGTGTGTGCACATCTATGCACTGATTATACTACAGATAAACGATACATACATTTAGGGTATGTGAAGTCACTATACTGTTGTGTGTAGAGTCAAAGTAAGAAGGTTATCTAATCTGTAAAGTCCACATTTTTCACTTCAATGAGATTAGGAATATCACCACAACATACAATTCGTGCATTACGCGTCTTTTAGCAGCGTCTAGTTGTTATAACATTACATTGACGAAACAGTCATTGCATTTTAAAGAATTCAGTCACTGTCATCGATCAAGTCTCAATCTTCACATGACTAGTTTGCAAGATATACATATATTTATGCATATATATATATTTCACCGCCACAACAATAATAACAATAATAATAACATGGGGTAGGTGCGTTGAAATACAGAGCAAAGTGGGAAAAAGGTGGAACAGTTAAAATAGAAAGATGTAGGTAACTGCGATAGAAAGATTTTTTGTGTTTCACCGTTCACTTTTTGATGTTTTTTTACGTTGTTTGTTGTTCTTTTTTTAAGGGGCACGGGATTTCGATAGGCAGACCATACAGCATTCGCGCCACCGACTTCTATTCTGGGCCATAACTTACAAAGTGTCTAACCAACGACAATCCTCATCCCTTGGTCCCCAACTTGGAAGGCGGGCTGCACCAACCTAATCCAAGGCTGAAACCAGCTTCTTCATGCCTCTGCGCCATGTCATGGTGTGACTACCGCGTCGCTTCTTCCAGCCTTGCCCGGCAAGTACAAAGCGAGCACGGAAAGGTAGTCGATGGGCAGGCATACGCAATACGTGACCAAGCCACCGGAGACGGTGTACAGCGATTACTTCTGTTATAGAACAACTATCCGCACTGACAACAGGACGGTGAACCTCGTTGTGGTATAAAAGAACATGCGTAAGCAGTTGGCTTGTTAAGATACAGTTTCGATTTGTATTTTACCTCACAGCTGCTTGTGAGCAGCAAGGTCGAATAATTGACTCCCAATTTTGGGACCACTGCTCTTCAGACTGTACTTTTAAGCACAATCCTTAAGTCATACAGTTGGTTATGCATAACAGCTTACCACTTTAGATTGTTGAAGTTCACTAATGGGTGAGTGAGTCCCCTTGCGGTCATGAAACTCGAAATTTGAACTTAAATTTTTCACACAAATTAAATACCGGGATTATCTGTTAGCAGAACATGGCTACGATTATCTTTTGATCTACTCAATCGAAAGTACACATCTAGTGGAAATAATATTATTAAGAAATTCAAAGTTTTCAGCGTAGCACCAAGGAAACTGATCTTACCTTGTACTGAACGCTGTCAAATTGCGAACAGAAAATAGACGCTTCACTGGGGCTCCGATCTGAGCCGGTGGAAAATACAATTCACCATCATGTTCCAGCTCAATCGCTGCCTGGATCACGTCGACAGTGACAGGCAGTATCTAAAGACATGGTAGGTACAAATAAATCGCAAAATGGTCTTACAGTTTCATATTCCGGTCGTTTATTGAACAGCAGTCGCAAATCGTGAGATTCCGAAATCGGTCCGAGATTTCGCTTACCGTCGGACCATGTGTCGCATTGGAGAACGAGAATGGAGTCCGATTTCGGTGGCACTTGTACAATTGGTGGAATAAGTTGGATGGTGGAGCTACAACAAGATGCATTGGCTGACTGTATTGTATTGGAGAGCCCAATAATGATCACATAAACGATCGGGTAAATTTCATATTATTTTTTTATTGTGTGGACAAAAATCGTTTATTTATAAACTTAGGCTTTGAAGAAATTCGAATGTACAATTAAATTACATATTCGGTGTGTGTTGGCCATATTAATTCTTTTTTCTCTCTCGTACAAGCTCCCCGTTTATCAAGCACTAGATGTTTATTGTCTGAGCTTGTTGACTGTTAGTGAAATATTTCACTGCACTTTACGGCATCGCAGTGACACCAAGGATAATTCGAACCAATGGTTGCTCATATAGTACGCTAGCCATTTGGATTATTCGGAGGTAGGCAATCAGTTGCTTGTTCCACCTCAAAATTAAGTGTTGTTTCTCACACACGACCAGGTCCCAATATAACTGAGGTGGAAAGCTCGCATCTAGCCCGTATGAATTTGTTCATTTCACTGTTTGAAGTGATGAGTATTTTTCATTGTGCTTTATGAACTTTTCATTCGTCAAGTAAAATTCTGCGCCATATCACCGATACAACCTTGTAAGTGGTATGTAATTGCGGAATCATTGCACAGCGATTCTTAGTCTTTTAACTGGTGAGTAATTTGCTAATTATTTACGATAAAATGGATTTTGAGCTAAAAAAAGAACATCTATAACTATTAAACTAACACTAATATGAAACGATCATCGATACAGTTCTTCCAGAATACTCCTGTCGTTACCTTTCCAGGCGTTTCAAAGTGATACTTGAAGGGGTATCACTGGTTTCCTTCAATGATCTCCTAAGTTCGCCCTGTCACAGGTGCATCCACAACATTCGCTTCATCTCTTTAAACAAGACACATGCTCGATCTTTTACTATTCTGTACACACGGAGTGGCTAAATGGTCAATCTCTTACGTTTACTCCCGAGCACTTCAGCAATCTACCATCTGGCTTTATTTTTTTTGTAAAACGTCTCTCTGTCTCCCAATAATTACACACATGGAAGGCTAGGGCTGAAAATATCTTCTTATCATTTATTAAATATTTGTTTTAAAGGTGCCATTATTGTTCCTTTCATTTAAATTTATAGATTAATAAGCTGACGACTCCTATAACACACAGTTGTTTGCTCGTTTGTTTTTTCTTCGCAATGGTTTCAACCAAACAAGAACCAAACAACCCCCAATTTGTTGAAATCACCCACCAACGGTTCTTTTTTGCGGTACAATTCACGTCTTTGTTCTGCTGTACCAACAACGGATAAGCACTATTGTTTCTCACGCAGAACGTTTCGAACCGGGTCTCTCCTCGATCCATGGATGGGTAGTGTATACTGCCGCGATCCAAACCGAATTCGGGCATGAACGGTTGTTTTGATGGAGCGAATGTGTGACCTGAACGCGGATGGGAAAATGCGCAAGTCACGCGGACGATATAGGTTTACTGTGTAATTCTTATCAGATCAAGTTTTAAAATGTAACCATGAAGGCGAAAACTAGTCCATATATGACTCACAACACTAAATTGCTGACAAAGACCTTTTAATTTTGTTCACTGTGAATTTTCGGAAAGGGCAGATTGAGTACTGATCACGTTCAGTCGCGAGTTTCGAACTCACCAAAACAATGGATACTGATACAATGTGGGATACGTAGACTATCCGGGTTGCATAGACTACAATCCCGTTGTATTTTGTAATTCGCACATCCTTCAAATTCGTAATGAAAGAGTTGATCCAAACGATTCTGCAACAACAGAGAATGAAGATGATTTTCAGTTTGTCGCTTGATTAGGATGAATCTATTCAGCACACATAAAAGATTTACAAACTGATCGTTATGTTCAGTTCATACTTAAATCAAGGTTACTTGCTAGCAGTGGTGTGGGATAAGCGATTGAATGAAAAAGACCATTCATTAGACTTCACCTTTACACATTTATCAGCTTTTCCAGTCAGCCATACACTGGTTGAATAGAAGAGACGAGGATCGTGCGTGAAGGCCAAGTCTGAAGGATGTTCAGCTCCAATTAATCAAGTTCAACCAATTATATTGGTTTGTAATAAAAGCAATTGTGAACATAACTATCAGCATGCTTTACGGATAAATGTACAAGAGATGTTTAGGGTGATGGTACATTGAAAACCTGGAAAATTATGTTCCACTGAGAGGCATGGATAAAGATGTCATTATTTCAATTCTAGGAGTTCCGTTTTGTGCTGTCTTTACAATCGGAAAGCGTGCAACGCAGATCATTAACAATGGAAATGCAAACACCAAAGGTAAGAATCTCAGCCCCCTCATGTTGGTAAGATAATCCAATAATGGTAGATTGTAACAGTTAAATTCTTGTGGGCACATGATACTGGCTCGCTGTGTGTAACCTGTTGTGCATCAGTGAAGTTAAGAGTTCTAGCCCGGCGGGTGATATAAACCTGAAGTTATAGGATGACATCAACCTTGATCTGTACAAAACATAAGGTCTACATCAAACGATCACTACGTGTTCTGACCACCTGTTGTCAACCTCGATCTGTCAAAGGGTTGACGATAGTGGATTGGTTGAATATGTTTATCGATTTGACATTCATGTACATTTTGCGATGCTCATTGACTTGTACTGCCCAATTTCACTGATCTCTCTTAATCCGGATCTAGCTGTGATGCACGGATTGCCACTCAACATGACATTCATAAGCTTATTCTCTAGTAACAGATCCCTAACTTTGCTAGTAGACCATACATTTTGTCAGTTTTCTTGACGCAACCTCCGGTATACCACTATTTCTACGTATGGCTCCTTTTCCGGGTGCTGGATTGATCATCATGTTTATATTCATCGCCCGACAAAATGCTTAAAGGGCAGGCTCCACTGATGGCTACAAAATCCTAAATGTGTTTGAAGTAACATGAATGCGCAGCATGAATGAAAAGTGATACTAAGTGCGTTAAGGAAAGAAGAAAACTTCTCAGAATTTGAATTTCACTTCATCTGAAATTTTTGACTTTTCGAAAGCCCATGGAATAAACCTCCCTTCCGTTCATTTCTCATCTTTCTGCCAAAGCCCAGTAAACCCTGGTATAATCAGGCTCATTGTTGTACAAAATGTCCCTTTCGTCCCCTGCAAACACGTGATCTTCCATGAGGTTACCACAACAAAAGTTTAAGTGAGTGATGGAGGATTTGATTTGATTTCGAAGGTTATTCGTCGTGTATATGGCAAACGAAACGTGAACTGAAAAGCTAGGAAGCACTGGACAGCTGTTTCGACCTGTTTGGGTCTCATCAGCAGTGCGAATCCATCGACCCCACTGGGGATCGAACCCGGGACTTCATGGGCAGAACGCAAGCGTGC